CAGAAAACAAAGGCATTGATTTTATTCTATTTTTTATTTAATCCTCTTTTTTCACACTGTAAAATCTCACAGTCTTCTTTACAACAAAGATGTGTTTTCTACATTAACAGCAGTAATATAAAAATATAAATAGTATAATACTATCGACTAAAGATCAGTACCTTATGACTCAAGCTAAAGAAACAAGTACCAGGATGACGAGACAAATTTACTAATCCTTTTATTAAAATGTTCAACTTCCTGTCTCACTGCTGCACTTTATGAAATGAAAATGTTAATGTTAATGCCAAGCTGCTGCTCATTTACTGTCTGGAAGCTGTACAAACCGGAATTTTGTTTTGTATTCACTATGTTTATACAAAATGACAATAAAAGTTGTCTAGGTCTAAGCGTGACAAAACTGGAGAGCTTCAGCTTCTCTCTGCAGTATGTTGACGGTGGAAGAACCAGAGTAGGAGAATGCTTTTTTTTGCCAAGTTCAGTAAAAATTGATGCAACACTAAATGTAATAAATTCCTCAGAACAAAGGTTGTAGTATCAGTTTTCATGAGATGTAACATGACCAGTATAATGAAACATGATCGATATTGGATTAGTTAATTAATGTTTACCAATGTTAGAGTCTGGAGGTGTATAGAGAGGGCCATCTAACTAATAATAATAATCTAACTTCATTAATCTCACATTGGAGAAATTGACCTCTGCATTTAACCCATCCCCTTAGGGAGCAGTGGGCTGCCATCGTGCGGCACTCAGGGAGCAATCGGGGGTTAAGAGTCTTGCTCAGAGACCCAGAGTGGCCGTCTTTGGCAGCGGGGCTCATACTCAGAACCTCAGGATTCCAAGCTCTATGCCCTAACACTAGGTCACCACTCACCTAACTACAGAGTATTAGATGAAATGGTGGCTGAGGGCTCACTCCACAGTAGTGATTCAGGCATGCTTTATGTGGGAGAAAAGTGAAATGTTAAAAACTCCTCTAGTGGCTTTATCAAGGAGAGAAAAACAGACGACTGTCATTGACAAGTTAATCTTGGAAGTTGGAGAGAGCAGAGTCAGAGCAGTGCATGTAGAAAGTCTTAAGTTAGTCCGCTCTCTCTAATTCTTGTCAACAGGCCAGCACATCAAGGCCTCACCTTACTGCATGTGCAGAAACACTAAAACCTGCCTGCTGCTATTTCTGAGCAGCCTCTGCACGGGTTGCAGCTGTGATTCATTTAGTCTCCAATCTCCTGACCATCTGTACCAATTAATCCTCTTCAGGCTGGCAAACGTCACCGTATTTGAGTAAAAACCCTTTTATTTTTCTCTGTACGGACTTCACAGGTGAGAGAAGAAGACCAGAACCAAGACGGAAAGTTGGACCTTTTGAAATTTCAGCTGCAGCTACCTCTGAAACCTGAGGAACAAGTATACAGCGTTCAGCTGCTGCTCACCTTCAGCTATCAGCTGTTTGTATGTACTGTCCGTCTGTCCTGTCACAGAGAAAGTTTTGTACTGCTGTTGTGATTAAATTATTCATTCATTTCCCATTTAGTTTGGTCTTGTGGTACGGGTTTAAAAACACAAACCCTTTTGTCTATGTTTGACTGGGGCATGTGGAAACAGCAAGCTAAAAAAAATGTCTGAATGCTGCAGTTATCTGGAGTTTATTCCTTTCCTTTCCCAGCGGATGTCCACAGTGGTGATGCAGAGTCTGGCGTTTGTGCAGCACTCGTCTCCTGTGCCTGGAGCGAAGCTGTTCATTAGTGGAGACCTGAGGCTGCAGCAGAGGACTCCTCTGCCCCACCGGGGGCTCTACAACACTTACAACGTAACAGAACACACACTTCTAAAACACTATCACTTTATATACAGCTATTAGCGTTTTGAACAGACAGACTCACAGATTGTACAGGTTAATGAAACATGAGCAAAATAAAAAGTCCTTTACTAGGGAATCTATTCCTGGGGGAATAAGATAATCAGGAGACAAATGCACGAGATAATAGAAATATTACAGTACATATAGAACAAAGGGTTCAGTTAACTTTCCACTGGAACTCTAATCAGAAGTTAGTAAAGTTAGTCTTCCATGTTTTGGCTCCATGATTTATTAATTCAGTGTGGATGTAATTTGATACCAATGCAGACCAATGATGAGTCTGTAAACAATAGAGTGGGAATGAGTGATGACACTCCAAACTGTTTTAAGTTTGGCAAACACGGAAAAAACCTGATTACCCGCACCTATCTACAGGGGCTCCTTTGTCGGTTTGCATCATTCTGGAGGATCATATCCTCCAATTATCAGACTCTGCCACCACTGGTGCAGAGTTAGGCCGGCTGGTGGCCTGCAAATTTGACATCACTGCTTTGCATTGATATTCTCCAATATACCAGTAACATCCAATGCTCAACAGTTTTTTTTTTCAGGGAATATGGTAGAAATACATTTAACATCCTTCGCCCTAAAATAATCATCATCCATGTTCATGTTTACAGTGTTTTCAGATGTTAGTTTGGATGTTATTCTGTCTCTTTCTTTGTTTTCTTGATGCAAAGGTGTCGGTGATCGACAGCTCCAGCCATTTTGCAAGCGCGTACGACCTGACCACTATTATGAGGAGCTACCAGGAAAGAAACCGTAAGGGACTTCTTCTTTGTTTCGCTTGCCTACTCTCCTGCTATGGGATTGAAATGTTTTCTTTTGTTCTCTGCGTTCTTCTTTTATAAGTAACGACGGTGCTGTCCTGCCCAACACCTGTCTGGATTGTAGGCCGGGCTGCTGGGTCCCCCTTTGAGCTAAATGCTGAAATCCGTTATCCCCTGGAGATCATCAGATATCCTTAATAGAGAAAAAGGAAGTGGTTTAGTTTGTATACTGATTAAGTTAGGATTTATTTTATTTGAAATATTAAGGCTAAAACTTAATAGAAATCCACAAATGAATGGAAATGCACCAATGTTGATGGAAAAATCAACTGATTTTTAGCAGGTAAACGGCTCTGACAGGGGATTAGCATGTCAAAAGCTTATAAATCCTATCTTTTTTAAATCAGTAAATGCACCATGCTAAGAGCTACCAGCCCCACAGACAACACAGAGGTAAAATAATTAAAGGGAGCTAATAATCTATGAGCTACGAGTCCGGAAGTCTGGGGAGGCAAAGGGATAGAGCGGCTATAAACTACATTTTTTTTATTCAAGCCCTGTTTTCAGTCATTTAGGTTGAGAGAGAGCAAGACTTTTAGCAGATACCAGGAAGGTGGAATATAGCAAACATCTTTACTAGTGTACTCATACTTTGTTTGAAGCAGCGGGTAAAGTGTTTGCAAAATCACTCCCGGTTTATTTCCATTAAGTGCAGTGAATAATCTTCTGATAAAAACAAATGGAAATTCCAGAAAAATGGAAATTGGAGCATTAAAAAAGGAGATGATATGCCACCATTGTCTGATTTACATTACCTTAGTTACTCTTTTATACATACAGAGCAGATTTTTAACAAAGGAGCAAAGTGATTTGCTTTTGCATTTCAGCAGACAGCATAACCAACCTCTTTTTGTGTTTCTGTGCCTTCTTCAATATGCAGATCATGTCCTAATGACCAAACCATGCAAAATTCTGGGTGGAGGATATACAAACGAAAACATTTACCACATGCAATGCAATTTTCCGAATCTGAAGCAACTGCAGACACAGTTTTTGTGTATTTTTTTAGCACTTCCTAAAGTCAGATGCAGACAACCTTTATACAATTAAATCACAGCCAAAGACTGTAAGGAGAAATGCAATCAGCAGACAAAGACAACTTTCTCATGTTCTATATTTAACTTTTTTTAGTTATCCCTATCTTTAGTTATCTTTATCATTTTTATTCGTTTACTTTAAGAAGTGCAATATAAATATTCATTCTCTTTTAATATTTAAATAATTATTGTCATTATTACCTCTAGCTCAATGGCTCAGAACATCATCTCTATTTCACAGCCTCTCTTAAAGTGTCAGCAGAACATGCAATCTGATCAGTTTAATGGGGCAGAACCAAATCAGTTTCACGCCCTAAAATAAATATAATAATATTAATAACTGTATGTGCAATTCAGCTCCCCGTATTTGAAGTCAGTAAAGATCAGGCCCTAAATCTTTTTTTTGTTTGTTTTTTCTTACTGTTTTCTTCTTTTTAATTACATCGAAGGTCTGCATATGATAGTTTAAAACTAGAGAACAACAGACACTTTGCCGTTCTTAATTTTTCTTTTTAACAGAAAAAGTTTAATTTCTCCATGAGAAAAATTTCCTCAGATAGCTTTGATAACACCAATGAAAAATGTACAATAAACATAAATGTACTTAAGATCATTGCAACTAAATGTTCAGACGTTCTCTCTTACGTCATATTAAACATTCATTGTAATCCATTTTGTCTTTGAATGAGAGGAAGTTAAACACTCTGTTTAACTTCCTCTCATGTGTTTATGTTTTTGTACACTTACTCATTTGCCATTTGCTTATTGATTTGTTAAGTTATTTCTTCGTAGACGTCTTCCCATGTAGATGTACCTTCTCATTTTTAGCCAGCCTAGTTGAGAGCAGGTGAGTCAATAACTGTAAACTTTCAGGGCTCTGGACTGAAGAACATATGCAAAAAGATTCACAGTATTCCTGCCTTAACTGCCTCCATCCACCTATCATCCCGGCTTCTGGGAAACCATCAAGTTTGCATGGATCCAGTATGTCAGCATCCTCCTCATCTTCCTCTGGGTCTTTGAACGCATCCAGAGATTTGTTTTCCAGAACCAGGTTATCAGAACTGTACCAATACCTGTTGGAAAACCTCACCTCTCCTGATCCATGCTTACGGTAATATGTTTTCTACAAGTGAAGATGGACTAAAATAGGCCTGTTTTCACAAATAACTATATTTTTGATATTATTTTTTGTTTTGTTTTTCAACTTTATCTACGTGTTAGAGATCTTAACAAATAAAAAATAAAGAAAACTGTGCATCTTGATCAGGGAGGATGAGTTGGAAACCAAAAAGGAAGTTCTAGTAAGACAAGAAGTATATAGAGGATCTAACTTTATGTATTTGTGTCTTAAACTGCTGTTCTGTTTCTGGCCAACGCTCATACATGCATTGTAAATCTGCTCTCATATTACTCAAAGGTATTATTTTCATATACGGTACAAGAAAAAGTTAAAAAATAAAATAGTGATTTTGTTATGATGCCCTGTTCCTCTTAGATCGCTCTAAAGGCCCTTAAATATATATTTTTCCTGTAGAAAAATGTGTGCCATTAATGAGTCACATACAATGGTACACCCTCTGTAGCAGTTTTGTCTTCACACTACACGATGAATGAACCGACTGGGTCTGGTAGATAAAAACCAAGGCAACAACATGTAGATAAGAAAATAGAAAATTCTACTTTCGGCACTTTTTGCTAATTAACCCTTAAGACTGATTTTTTTTTTCTGTAACACAAATTTGACAAGAACAGTTAAATTAATTATCTTGTAAATTAATTATCTCTAAAATTATCTTGTAGATTTCTAAAGTTTTGCTGTAATGATTAAATAATATTTAATATTCTCCCTTTTCTGTTGTTTTATAAAGTTTTGAATTGCATAGATTGTGAATAAATGTTCAACCATCCTGCATTTTATATGTTTGTTACATGTTTTAAACCAGTTTGCAAAAAAAATAAAAAGGTAAAACATTCCCCAATTCATTAGCTTGTCTTTGTGCAAGATTAGCATATTTACTTCTTCCCAACCTAAATCCTTCCACTGTCACTGACTCACTTAAACTTATCCTAAGTGTTCCCAAAGCATTCCTCTGGGTAGAGAGGAGATAGTCCCTTATGGATTTGTCCTTGAGCTTCTCTCTCAGTTGGATGTGCCTGCAAAACTTTTAAAGGTAGATGGTGAGGAGTAATCCGAACTGGATGCCCTAAACCTGTGCTTTTGAAACTGAGGGCCACCAGGCGGGCTTTTAAAACTTGGAATAAATGTAAGAACAAAAATATGCACACATTTTTTTTATTTAATTTGGTTATTTTATCATTATTATAATATGTTTTTAAATTATTACAAACTATAACTTGTGATAATATATCATTTTCTCTTTAAATGCCGTGAGGATTTAAAACATCACCTTGAGACTCTTCCTTTCATTGTATGAACAGACCCTCCCATCTGACAGAGCATATAAATGTGTTTTTTAGGTTTTTAATAGCTTACCGTGTGAGCCGTACTTTTTCACTCTACATGCCCTTCAGACAAAACTTGGAGAGCGTCTATATGGGAAAATTGTCAGGTTTGGCACTAAGACATTAAGACAATCCTTCTCGCTACAAACACATTACGTTTAAAATTTTTTCGGAACTATAAAACAAAGTTAAAAACTTGTTAGGTAATGATATTATGCTAAATCACAATCAGAGTCAGAAATACTTTAATAATCCCAGAGGGACATGACTTTTGTTACACGCTCCAGATACAGTTTTATATACATATATACACAACAAAC